AGCGGTGTTGAATTCAGATTTCTTCCCTAATTTAAAAAGTAACTCCACTTTTATTGAGGAAAAAAAACACTCCCCTCTGGGTGATAAATGTACAGTGCATGGATTTTCACCAACTTTGTTCCAAAACCTACTGTTCTCCTGACAAAAAAGTTTTAGCAGGTAGGCAGTGAAGGAAAGTCTGTAAAAAGGTACACAGACAAAAAGAGGATTACAGGATAAGTCCATCTTTTGGAACATGTTACCCATTACACCTGTATTTAGGGTATAACATGTTGCAGCACATGTTCCCCTCACCCCTCAATCCCACCTCTCCGTGACAGCGGGCAGGGGTTCCTCTTTCCCATAGCTGCTGTCACATTTAAAATTGATGCAGGTGTGCGGGGCTCTACACAAACAGCCACATCATTTATTCACAGGGATCTGTGAATTAATAAACTACAAGCCCCATCTTCTACTGCAGCAGATAGACTGTAGTTTTCAATGGACTGAAAGGATGCAATGATTTGCAGGCTCTTTTTTCCTGCAAAAATATTTGTTTTAATTCTTTTTTTACCTAAAGATGAATTTAGCCTTTACACCCCAGTCACATCGGGTGCGACTTGGCATGCGACTTGCATGCCATGCAAATTGTAAATCGTATGCCAAGTCGCACCCTATTGTCCGCTATTAGAGAGGTCATATCGGTGCGGTTCCGACTTGGTCGGAGCTGCACCGATTTCTAAAGTAGTGCATGCACTACTTTTGTTGTGATTTCCATAGAAATCTGTGTCAGATGTCTTGCAAAATGCAACTAAAATCTGCAATTACCCGTTTTTGAAATCGTGCGACTTCACTGTAAGTCACACGATTTCAAAATCAGCTTTGACGTGACCTGGGGCTTAAGCCTTTCCTACTCCATATAAAGAGAGGGGAAAAAAATGGATTGGGCAGGACATACAAAGAGCACAATAATACAAAGAACAACCAATAAAATAGGATTACTAATTGGCTGCACTGGGTTCCTGTACGTTACATCATAAATGATCCTTATATTGCTATTTTCATAAAGAACTTGAAAATCCAAGCACGCTTGGTTTGCATAGCTTTGCCATACTCGCAATCATGTTCAAATAATTAAACAAGACTGGTGAATATTAAATAAATAATGAATGGGTTCTGAATGATTGGCAATGAGATGGGAATAAGGGACAAATACAAAGACAATAAGCATGGATTAATATTTCATTATGGTGTAGAAACACTATAGATTTGCAAGTCACAGCTTGCTGTTGCTTGTCTCGGCAAAACTACATTTCAAACATGTCTAGCTGGAGCACAAAATTATATTAATGCAGGGCTTGACAATTTCGCTTTGAATCTAGGAGCCAGCTAAAAATAATTAGGAGCCAGTTTGTTTTTTTTTTCTTTTTAAGAGTAGCGTGGGTTGTCAGTGCCAGGCAACCTTTGGGCGACAAGCTCAAGGTGATGCGATTTGCCGCACAACAATCCCGGCAAAACCACACAACGTTTTAGGTGCCACTGAAAATAATGACACCTGAAGCTGCATTTCGCAATTGCAGCAATTCTCAAAACGCCCAGGTGTGAACAGAGTGACCTTGGTTCACTCATATGCGATTCTTGATGTGTTTTTAAACTCACAATGATTGACAGACTAGATATTTTATTTATTTATTACAGGTACGTATATAGAACTGTCAATTTACCCAGCGCTATACATATATACTGTATATAGATATTTTTTTTTTTTGTACATTCACATCAGTCCCTAACCCTCAAAGAGCATACAGTCTAAGGTCCCTAACTTACATTCATACATACACAAACTAGGGCCAATTTAGACAGCAGCCAATTCACCTACCAGCATGTCTTGGAGTGTGGGAGAAAACTAGAGTACCCAGGGGCAGCCCATGCAGGCACAGGGAGAACAAGGCAGATAGTGCCGTGGTTGGGATTCAAACTGACAACCCTAGTGCTGCCAGTAGGAAGTGATAACCAGTTAGCCACTGTACTGCCCATAAGATATTATGTGCTCCTAATAAGGTGGTTGACAGAGATGCGATCCACACACATTGTGTTTTGATTGCCATTACAAAAAGGGCCCTGTGCGAGTTTGTTGCGGTGCACTCCAGACTCCAGTGATAGAGTAGAGTGGCATGAGGAGACAAGTGTTCATATAGGCATTTTTACATTGAAATCAATGGAAGGCAGTGTGTGAACCCAGGCACTAGGATGCAATTTCTAGTCGCCATGGCAACCTGGGATTTGTCGAGCTCTGCATATTATATATATATATATACACACACAGTAAGAGCAATATTTAATCATTCTTGCAAATACACCATTCAGCCATAACCTTATGACCACACGCTATAACCTTTTGAGGCGTGGATCTTTGAAGGTATGTTGTGGTATTTGGCACCAAGCCGTCAATAGCAGATCCTTTGAGTCCTGCAAACTGAAAGGTGGGGCCTCCATGGATCTGACTTGTTTTTCCTGCACATCCTACAGATGCTCGATTGGATTGAGATCTGGAGAATTTGGAGGCTAAATCAGCACTTCAAACTTCTTCTTTTGTTCCTCAAACCATTCTTGAATTCATCAGATCAGGCCACCTTCTTCGAGTGCTCCATGGTCCAGTTTTGATATGCTTGCTGATTGCTTTTGCTACAACCAGCTGTGATGCAGATTATAAGGGTTCTTGGCTGTGAAAATTGGGTCAGCATGGGCACCCTGACTGGCTACGCAGCCCCATATACAACAAACTGTGAAGAACTGTGTATTCTGACACCTTTCTAATGAAACCAGCATTGAATTTTTACCAATCTGACATACAGTAGCTCTTTTATTGGATCAGACTACACAGGCCAGCCTTAGCTCCTCGTATATCAATGAGCCTTAGCCACCCATGATGTTGGTTTTGCTTCCTTGGACCACTTTTGGTTGGTTCTGACCATCGCACACTGGGAACTGCAGTTGTGGAGATGCTCAAGCCTAGTAGTCTAGCTATTACAATTTGGCTCTTAGAGTTGCTCAAATCCTTGTCCGCTTATTCATTTATTTTCTGATTTCAACACATTAACTTCAGGTACAACATGTTCACTTGCTGCCTCACATATACCACTCACTTTCAGGTGCCATGTCACAAGATAATTAAGAATGTTATTCACTCTACCTGTCAGTGTCATAATGAAAGGTAATGCAATAAAAAGTCAAATTACCAAACATATTTTAGATTGTATGTTTACTCAATTACTTGTTTGAAAGCGTATATACCACCAACACCAATGACCGACACAATTCCTCCCACTGGCACCAATGATGGGGCACAATTCCTCCCACTGACACCAATGATGGGGCACTATTCTTCCCATTAACACCAATAATGGGGTACTAGTTAACCCCCCCTCCCCTAAAGTTTGAAGGATAGTATTCTGGCCCTTTGTTTAGAAAGTTTAGAGACCCTTGGTATAATATGGTTAAAAATGTCTACATCATATATTGATCCATTTCAATTATTTCTCGTACTAATCTGAACAATCTTTAAGTTTGTAAACTTACTTTTATAAAGACCCCCACACATTTTACTTCCTTGAATTCTGTGACACATATTTGTCCTGTGAGTAGGCATTGCTGTGTCACACATTTCACAGAGCCTGCCTTCTGAACAACAGAGGTGCTGAGAGGAGCAGTTTCAGGAGGTGGAGTCAGTACAGGAATCGCCATGGGTTATGTAGTCCTTAGCAATTGAAAGTAAATAGCAGAGCAGAAGCTGCAAAGCATGCAGAGAATCCAGAAAGATGGGCAGCAAACAGGCAGAACTCACAACATACCCATTTTTCAAGTAAGCTTATTAACTGTCAAAAATACCCATTGTTTGTATTATTACATTGCTGATGTTATAAAATGATAGTGTGTGGTGTGACTATAGATATCCATTAAGTCCTGAGAATGGACACTCTTAATATACTGGCCTTCAAGTTTTTCTTTAAGAACACATCGCACTGCGCCATACTTACGAGCCTTCTACAATGTACTACATTATAAACTGTGTACAATGATCAGCCAGAACTTTATCACCACTGACAGGTTAAGTGAATAACATTGATTATCTCATTACAATGGCATCTGAAGGTCGGTGGGATATGTTCAGCAGCAAGTAAACAGGTTGTCCCTGAGGTTGATGTGTTGAAAATAGAAAATATGGTCATTATTGTAGGATATTATATATTGTTGGAACTCGCTTCAGATGGTAGAGCTTTTTTTAAAGCACACAGCAACTCACTTCTTTTTAAGGGCCTTTTTGCCCAATTTTATTTGAAAGAAAATTCAATAACCAAAATGCTTCCCCCTGTAGGGGTATCAACTATCAAGCCAATGCAAATGACATTCAGCCTTCTGGCTCTCTCAGGTACACAGCTTTATGTCTGTCTCCTACAGACTCCATCCAAAAGGTTGTTTTTGCACACAGTGAACCTCTAGCACACAGCTATTTTAGCTTCCACCTCTCTTAGGTGAAGCCCTCCTGACTCCAAGGCAGAGACCTCCTGCCCGCCAGGGTGGAGCCCTCCTGACACCTGTCTGCCAGGGTGGAGCCCAGAATCATGGCCTGGCCTCCACAAAAAGGCCTGCACACACCTGTGCAATCAGCGCGCTGGCTGCTCTCAAAACAGGGGCCCAGGATTGGAGATTTCATCCCTCCCAAATCTCTTAGAAATCTCCAGGCTACAGGTCCCAAAACAGGCTTTACAAACCAAAGAGGAAACCAATAAACCAGTTTCCTCTGCATTATGAGAACTGTCTGGAGCCCCTCAACCTGTATGGTTGAGAAACCTGGGTCACCACCGTGATTTCCACTGTGGCAGGATACCGCACTGCCATATATATATATATATATATATATATATATATATATTATATATATATATACATACATATACATACATACATACATACACACACACTCACACACATACATACACACACTAGATTGCCAAAAGTATTGGGACACCCCTCCAAATCATTGGATTCAGGTGTTCCAATCACCTCCATGGCCACATGTGTATGAAATTAAGCACCTAGGCATGCAGACTGCTTCTACAAACATTTGTGAAAGAATGGGTCGCACAGGAGCTCGGTGAGTTTAAGCATGGTATCGTGATGGGTTGCCACCTGTGCAAAAGGCCATCCCTGACATTTCCTTGCCTCTACAGTGGATATAAAAAGTCTACACACCCCTGTTAAAATGTCAGGTTTCTGTGATGTAAACAAATGAGACAAAGAAATCATTTCAGAACTTTTTCCACCATTTAACCTATAAACTGTAGGTTGAACAAAAAACTGAAATCTTTTTGAAGGGAAGTAAAATAAAAACTAAAATAATATGGTTGCATAAGTGTGAACAACCTTAAACTAATACTTTGCTGAAGGACCTTTTTATTTTATCACAGCACTCAGTCTTTTTAGGTATGAGTCTATCAGCATAGCACATCTTGACTTGCCCACTCTTCCTTGCAAAAACTCCAAATATGTCAGATTTCGAGGGCATCTCCTGTGCACAGCCCTCTTCAGATCACCCCACAGATTTTCAATCGGATTCAAGTCTGGGCTCTGGCTGGGCAATTCCAAAACTTTAAATCTTCTTCTGGTTAATCCATTCCTTTGTTGATTTGGATGTATGTTATGGGTCATTGTCATGCTGAAAAATTAAGTTCCTGATGGTTTCGTGTCAATATTGACCGGTATTTGGAACTGTTCATAATACCCTCTACCTTGACTAAGACCCCAGTTCCAGCTGAAGAAAAACTACCACAAAGCATGATGCTACCACCATCATGCTTCACTGTGGGTATGGTGTTACTTTTGTGATGTGCAGTGTTTTTGCGCCAAAACATATCCTTTGGAATTATGGCCAAAAAGTTCAACCTTGGTTTCATCAGACCATAACACATTTTCCCACATGCTTTTGGGAAACTTCAGATGTGTTTCAGCAAAATTTAGCCGGGTTTGGATGGTTTTCTTCGTAAGAAAAGACTTCCGTCTTGCCACCCCCATAGCCCAGACATATGAAGAATATGGGATCTTGTTGTCACATGTACCACACAGCCAGTACTTGCCAGATATTCCTGCAGCTCCTTTAATGTTGTTGTAGGCAGCCTCCCAGACCAGTTTTCTTCTGGTCTTTTCATCAATTTTGGAGGGACATCCAGTTCTTGGTAATGTCACTGTTGTGCCATATTTTCTCCATTTGATGACTGTCTTCACTGTGTTCCATGGTATATCTAATGCCTTGGAAATTCTTTTGCACCCTTCTCCTGACTGCTATCTTTTAACAATGAGATCCCCAAGATGCTTTGGAAGTGCTCTGCAGACCATGGCTTTTGCTGTAGGATGAGACTAAGAAAATGTCAGGAAAGATCTACTAGAACAGCTGAACTTTATTTGGGGTTTGTTTAGAGGCACTTTAAATGATGGCAGGTGTGTATTTTACTTCTATTTAGCATGATTTTTAATGTGACTGCTTAATTATGAACACAGCTACATCCCCAGTTTTAAGAGGGTGTGCACACTTATGCAACCAAATTTAAATGTTTTATGTTTACTCCCCCTCTAAGAGATTTCAGTTTATATTTTTCAATTGAGTTGTACAGTTTATAGTTCACATTAAAGGTGGAAAAAGTTCTGAAATCATTTATTGTCATCTCATTTTTTTTTACATCACAGAAACCTGACATTTTAACAGGGGTGTGAAGACTTTTTAAATCCACTGTAAATATTCCATGGTCAACTGTTAGTGGTATCATAACAATGTAGAAGCAACTGGGAACAACAGCAATTCCACCAATTAGTAGGCCACATAAAATGAGTGGGATCAGTGCATGCTGAAGCGCACAGTGCGCAGAAGTTGCCAACTGTCTGCAGAGTAAGTAGCTAAAGACCTCCAATTTTCATGTGGCCTTCAGATTAGCACAACAACAGTGCATAGAGAGCTTCATGGAATGGAGCACCTGCATCCAAGCGCACCAAGTGCAATGCAAAGCCTCGATGCAGTGGTGTAAAGCATGCTGCCTCTGGACTCTAGAGCAATAGAGACGTGTTTCTGGAGTGACAAATCACACTTCTCTGTCTGTCAATCCGATTTCTGGGTTTGTCAGTTGCCAGGAATATGGTACTTGCCTGACTGCATTATGCAAAGTGTAACGTTTGGTGGCGGGGGGATTATGGTGTGGGGTTGTTTTTCAGGGGCTGGGCTTAGTCCCTTAGGTCCAATGAAGGGAATTCTTAAGGTGTCAGCACAACATTTTAGACAATTTCATGCTTCCTACTTTGTGGAAACAGTTTGAGGGTGGCCCCTTCCTGTTCCAACATGACTGCATCAGTGCACAAAGCAAGGTCCTGACCTCAACCCAATAGAAAACCTTTGAGATGAATTAGAGTGGAGATTGCAAGCCAGCCCTTCTCGTCCGACATCAGTGCCTGACCTCACAAATGCGCTTCTGGAAGTATGGTCAAAAATTCCCATAGCCACACTCCTAAACCTTGTGGACAGCCCACCCAGAAGAGTTGAAGCTGTTATAGCTGCAAAGGGTGGGCCAACTCAATATTGAACCCTAAAGACTAAGACTGGGATGCCGTTAAAGTCCATGTGCGTGTAAAGGCATACGTCCCAATATTTTTGGCAATATACTGTATATACCTACATAAATTGAAGGTGCTATAGAAGTACTTGTAATAAATGAAAAAAACTGCAGTTTGATGTGTATGGGGTTGCGTAGCTGCTGACCAACCACGGTGTCCATGCTGCCCCGCGTCCATAACCAAAAGTGCCTACAACTGGCACGTGAGCGTGCATTGCTTACCTAGAAAGAGTTGGAACCAGAATGTAGTATGCAGGGGTGTGGAATTTTTTTTAAAAACTACTTGTTCAAGGATTAAATCAGGGTTCCAATCTACTTGTCCCTCATGACAATCTGCTTGTCCTGATGATAAAAAAAAAATTGCCAGGATGGAAATTACAAAGGGTTGATTTTTTTTATTAAGCAAATGTGCTTTTAGGAATGTCTGGGGCTTTTAAAAGCAAAAGGGGCTTTATGGAGAAAAAACTGCTATAACATTTCTTAGAACTCCAAACATTATATATTTTTTTTTAAAGCAGAGGTCCTAGAGAATAAACTGGTGAGTTTTGCATTTTTTATGTAACACAGTATGTGCACAGCAGTTTTACAAATGCAATTTTTTTGGGAAAAAAATACACATTGCATTAAAATTAAAAAAAAAAAGAATACTAAACCCAATTTTAAATAAAAACTATAAAAGATGATGTTACTCTGAGTAAACAGATACAAAACATGTCATGCTTTAAAATTGTGCACGGCCGTGCAGCATGGCTAATTATAAGGAAAAACCCTCTTGCCCGGCGCCCAGAACTGCATGTCCCAGGCATCGAGCTATAGGAATTGCATATTCCTGGTATGGGAAGAAGGCAAGTCAGTAGAGGCAGTGTGATGCTTTGGGCAATGTTGTGCTGGGAAATCTTGTGTCCTGCCATTCATGTGGAAGTTAGTTTAACACCTCCTACCTAAGAATTGTTGCTGAATAAGTACACCCCTTCATGAAAATGGTATTCCCTGATGGCAGTGGCCTCTTTGAGCAGGGTAAAGCACCCTGCCACACTGCAAAAATGGTTCAAGAATTGTTTGAGGAACACAACATGTTTTAGGTGATGACTTGGCCTCCAAATTCTTAAGATCTCAATCCTATCAAGCATCTGTGGAATGTGCTGGAAAAAACAAGTCTGATCTAATCATGCTCTACTTAATGCACATGTGCTAAACAGGGAACCTGCTTAATATAAGACAGAGCAGAGTAAGCAAAATTCATACATATTAGCAGGCTGCAAACAGGAAGGTCACACCACTTCATTGATTCACTTTAATGGAGAAAAAGGAATTGCCCTACAAGCTATGATGTCTGGTAAAGGTTTATTAATTATAAAAGTGGCTAGACAGAATTATAAAGCCTTTGTTAGAAGAGACAGGCCGCCTATGCGATGTAGATTTCATTTTTCACTTATACTTCTTCAAGGAAAAGGAAAGAAAGTGGCAGGACATCATAACCATGTATAGGTGAACCATACAATGAACTTGGTGTAGAGTTATTCACTTTCAAGTCATTACAGAGGACAAGGGGAAGAAATCTGGAAAGAAATGTAACCATCACATAAGGAAAGGCTTCTTCACACTAAGAGCTGTGAAAATATGAAATAGATTCCCACCAGAACTAATTCTGGTAAGCTCAGTAGATTGTTTTTAAAACAATCTGGATGCATTTCTAAATGCACAAAATATAACTGGATACTAACATTTAAATCCCGTACACATGATCAGAAAATCGGATGACAAAAATAGCTTTCGGAGGGATTGTTCGATAATCTGATCGTTAGTACACAGCTTTCAATAGCCAATTATGACAGTTCCTGCGACAATATCCAAAGGAACAAGCACAAAAATATTTCTTTTAGGATAACAGTGCAAATGATTTTTGTTTAATCAGTACAATATTTGTTTGAAAAAAATCGAGAGACCAAGACCATGCATGCTCAGAAATAAAAGAATACATCACGATAAAATACAATACAGTACATCACTTCCAAAGTTGTATTTTGCCGTATGAGAATTTTCAGAACTTTAGTAACCTCTTAATTTTCGACATGAGCTTAACATGCAACAAAAAATGAATAGGTCAACCGATTGTCTGATTATTATTATTATACAGGATTTATATAGCGCCAACAGTTTGCTCAGCGCTTTACAATATAACGGGAGACAATACAGTAACAATACAGTTCAATACAAGAGGGATTTGAGGGCCCTGCTCCTTGGAGCTTACAATCTAGGAGGGAGGGGCTAGTGGTACAAAAGGTTGTAACTGTGGGGGATGGACTGGTTGGAAGAGTAGAAGATTCCAGTATTAGCTGAGGGCAGGATAGGCTTCCCTGAAGAGATAGGTTTTCAGAGATTGCCTAAAAGTAAGCAGAGTAGGGGATAGTCTGATAAATTGGGGTAGAGAGTTCCAGAGGATGGGGGAAGCTCTGGAGAAGTCCTGGAGATGAGCATGGGAGGAGGAGACAAGGGAGCTAGAGAGTGGGAGGTCTTGGGAGGAGCGGAGAGTACGGTTTGGGTGATATTTAGAGACAAGATCGGTGATGTAATTTGGGGCAGAGTTAAAAATGGCTTTATATGTTATTGTTAATGTTTTGAATCTTATCCGTTGGGCAACGGGAAGCCAGTGGAGGGACTGACAGAGAGGGGTGGCAGATATAGAATGGTTAGTAAGGTGGATGAGTCTGGCAGCAGCATTCATGATAGACTGAAGAGGGGATAGCCTGCGATGAGGTAGGCCAATGAGGAGGGAGTTACAATAGTCAAGGCGAGATATAACAAGGGAGTGAATAAGTTGCTTAGTGGTTTCCGAGGTTAGGAACGGTCGTATCTTGGAGACGTTGTGGAGGTGAAGTCTACAAGATTTGGACAGTGTTTGGATTTGGGGCTGAAAGGGCAGATGGGAGTCTAGGGTTACACCTAGTACCCTGGCATGAGGGGAGGGACTGATGATTGTGTTATTGATTTTTCTGGAGAAGACAGGGGAGGGGGCACAGGCTGGAGGGAATACTAAGACCTCAGTTTTGGAAAGATTGAGTTTGAGGAAGTGGAGTGACGTCCATGCCGATATGTCACTTAGTAGGTTAGTAATGCGAGTGGAGACTGAAGGGGTGAAGTGAGGTGTAAAAAGATATATTTGTATGTCATCAGCATAGAGATGGTACTTAAAGCCGTGAGAGTTTATCAAGTGACCAAGGGAGGAGGTGTAGATGGAGAAGAGAAGGGGTCCAAGGACAGAACCTTGAGGGAAAGAGGGAGTGAAGAGGAGGAGGCAGCATTCTAGGTAACACTGAAGGAACGCTGCAATAGGTAGGAGGAGAACCAGCTCAGGTGATTGTAGACTAAGCGTTCTAGGAGTTTAGAGGTAAATGGCAGCAGCAGGGAGATGGGTCTTACGTTGTTCAGGTCGGTGGGGTCCAGGGAGGGCTTTTAAGTATGGGAGTGATGTGCGCATGCTTTAGAGCGGAGGGGAAGGCATCTATAGAGAGGGAAAGATTGAAGATGTGAGTGAGGGAGCATAGGATGGAAGAAGATGGTGACCGTAGTAGTTGGAGGGGACAGGATCCAGGGAGCAGGTAGTGAGACGGGCTTCTGAGAAAACCTTAGTGACCTCTTCAGTAGTGGCGAGGTCAAAAGAGGAAAGTGTTGAGGGAGGTTTAGTATAAGGTATGCTAAGTGAGATGATGTCTGTGCAGTGGTGACGCCCCTACGAATTGCATCAGTCTTGTTTTTTAAATGATTTGCAATCCCATGAGCAGTGAGTGAGGTACTGGGTGGAGGTGGAGAAAGTAGAGAGTTAAAAGTAGAGAAGAGACAAAGAAGACTGGATGAGAAGGTATTAATAAGAGTGACAAAGTAGGCTTGTTTGGCAGCATGAAGGGAGGAATTGTATGTTAAGAAAGCAGATTAATATCGGGTGACTGCTTGGTGGGATTTGGTTTTACGCCACAATCGCTCCAGCGCACAACTATGTCATTTAAGATTTCTGGTGTGGTCAGTCTGCCAAGGTTGTAACGGTCGGGGCCTGATGCTTCGTGTTGCTAGAGGAGCAAGTGAGTCTAATGCGGGATGAAAGAGAACTGTTATAGACAGCAGTGGCCAGGTCAGGGCAAGACAGGGGAGAGATTCTGTCAGAGTTGGTCAGTTGCAGAGTGGAAAGGAGCAGGGTTCAAGTTATAAAGGTTTCTGCGGGTAATTGTTTGCTGCTTGGAGGGATAGGTGTTTGAAGATGAGGAGACTGTAAAGGTGATGAGATTGTGATCAGAGAG